ATGCTGTTGATGAACAGTAACTAAACAGAGTAGTGTGCATTATTGGAAAAACAACATGAAATGTGTAGCGAATCAGCTCATGGGGAAATATGAATAATTAACCATAACTAGTTATAATTAACTATTCATATTTTAGATCCGCTGTAGATATTTAGCTGACCTCTCAGGGTCAACTGTCTTGTCAATTCCAAGAACGTTAATTTCCTGGTTAAGGGAAATAACTTTCTTACTGTACAATTCTACAAGCTTGTAACGTAAATCTGCATGATTAGTGACTCCGGTTATGAGCAAACAATGAACACGTCAAGTGTGATACAAGTAAGGTTTTATTAACTACATAAACACTTAAACTAGTCTAACATACTACATAAACACATTAAGCTGGTCTAACATACACATACACACACACACACACACACACATACAGTTGGTATAGGAAAGGGTTAAAGTTTAACTCAGCATAGAAAGAGGCATAAAGAATGAATTTTATGGAACTATGGAACTATTCAGCAGATCTAAAACCTGAGGGAAAACGTCAGATTCTTAGTTCAAACAAACCTTGTAAAAAGGTGTAACTGATACTTAATATATCAATTAATAAGACTAAGTTTGATACTTAGCAAGTCTCGGCGGTCTGAAAGAGATTCCTAATGCAAATCTTAAAGCTTCCCGTTGATCTTTGCTGAATTCGGGTCGATGAAAAGAACCAGTTTGAGTCAGTGTCACTTGATGAATGGAAAGGACTAGGCCAAAGAAAGGCCTGGCACAATGCTTTGGTATCCTCAAGCATTTTCTCACATCTTCAACTGCATCTGACCGAACCACCGACTGGGGCGGGTCTCTTGAAGTGTGGCCTTTAAAGCCTGCAGAGATTCACGCCTCTCAAGATGGGCTTGCCCAATGGGGAAGTCCGGAATCTCAAGTGGGAGTTCTGCGTTTTTATGGCCCTTTGTCTCGAAGCATGGTATTTTGCATATGTAATTCACTTGAGTGTTGATGCAGAAATTAGTAATGATTCTTAGAACATCCATATGTTGCAGAGGTATCAGCATGTAATATGCACTCTCAGTTAGATCATCCGAAGACGAATTCATAGATACTAGACATGGTAGAGTTACTTATATGAATGAGTGGTTTATCGTAAGCATGATACACTACAACAGACAATATACAAGAACAGTAATGGTATACACAATGACCTGAAGGATATGTGTATTCAATCAAAGAAAGGTTTTCCTATGAATTAATTAGAGAACAGTCCATTTCTCTGGGCATTATGTGTCTTTCTTATGAGGAAAATGAGGGAGTTTGTCTGCCCGCATTCCTTTAGGCCATAAAACCAGTGATATCAGCATTGGTTACCAGGGAACCAGAGGCCTGTTCTGCTTTTCTGAGGTGTTAGGTGCATTTCGGGGGAAGGGTCCATAGACCCTCGTAATTGGCCATTTGGTTAGGTGAGGGGGAGTTAGATATTATTTGTTAAATATAACAAAAAGTTGTGTGTCTGATTGGTCCAAATGCTACAAATGGCAATCACAACACATTTAACTTACGTAATCTGACATATTTCTTAATGAAACAGAATATTTATCTTAAAATCATATAGGGCACTGCTTCTAATAATAATACCAGTCTAATAATGTGTTTACACTAATTAAATATGGTCAGTTTTGATTGATGGAATAATTTGTCGTTTTATGTTGTTGTTTACTATATTTATTTGCTTGGTCAGTTTCATTGTTGGCTTTGGTTCTTTTTCTGTTGTAAGCCGTAAGGACATTTGAAATAACTGAAATCATTTGGCAAAGTGAAATGGACATGTAATGCGGTCAAAACCTGCCTGGAACTACTTTTGCCTTGCGTTTCCCTGAAAATAATTGCACACCTCAGAACATTTGTCAGTTGTTCCGCTTATACTTACCAAACCTCACAACATTGTTCAGATGTTTGAAGACATTCGTCAGGTTTTTGTCCTTAAAATGCTGTTTTATAGTGTTTGATGACTGTGTGTGTGTGAGAGAGAGAGGGATTAGCTAAGCAGCCTGAGATGTGTCATCTTAGTGTCTGTCCAAACTGCTCATAATGAGAGATCAAAGACAAGAGCGTGAGATGTTTTCACACTTTGTGTGTGTGTGAGAGAAAGAGAGAGAGAGTGTGTGTGTGTGTGTGTGTGTGTGTGTGTGTGTGTGTGAAAACTCAGTACGTGTTTGTTGTTCTATGTACATTTGTTTGTTAATTTCTTACACATCGGCTTTCTTACGCATGTATACAGTGGAAATAATTAGCTGGTAACATTTCATCACATTGCAATCTGTTAAACTGAGCGGTACTGTGGCTCAGAACCCCAGAGGATGTCATCAGCTCAGAGGGTGGAGCTGGGTGGAGCATGTATAGGCGGGCGATTCCTGCTAACACTGTATTGACCTTTATTTCTGTTTTCACAGTATTTTATTATTGGACCTTTTTTTTCATTTGTTTTATTGGATATTTTTGGGGGAGTATTTCTTATTTTATAATTGGAATCTTATATAGGGTTGCATATATAGGGTTGACAAGGAAGAGTTACATGGGGAAGTTGTCTCAAGAACTATATCTCAGGTTTTGAGTCAAATCTGACATACATTCAGACAAGAGTTATGAACTCAATATTATGAATAATGAACTGTATAATGAAAGTGGATTTTAACTGAACATTTTATATTTTAATTCATTTTTTCTACAATTAATAAAAAAAAATTAAGAGCATTAAATGGTAGATTTTCAGTACAGGGACATGTTGTTAACGTATGTTCAGTGAACTATATTTTTTCCCCTAGGCACTGACAGTAAAAATATTCATGCCTTTCCTTTCCTTTCCTGAGCACTGCTTCCCTTCCCTTCCCTTTTCCAACTTTAATATATGAGACTTTTATGAATAAATAAAAAAATAAACATAAGCTTACCTTCAGAAATATTTATTGGGGTAAATAAAATGTGTGAAAAAATTGTAAAAACTACCCGTGGTCTTCCCTATTAAGATTCATAATAATATACTATTATATATATCTATTATATATATTTAGTTTTATGTCTAATTTAAAGTAAACTAAATATGATTAGCTGGAAAAATTTACTTTTTTTTTTGTTAACTATAATAAATCGGACAACACTGACTGACTCATTCAGAACTGATGAATAGGTTGTCTTATGAATTATTCAAGAGCCCTCAATTATGCAGTGCTGTGCTGTAGTTAATGTTTCTGCATTAGTATAGATACTTGTCTGAGACATCAGTGGCCCCACCTCTTTTCTGCATTTACTGCAGTATACAGCTGATGTGTGTGTGTGCTGTACGTGTTTGTGTGTATGTGTGCTCTTTAAGCTTCTCTTTTCACTCTATTGACAATCTTATGGTGTTTCCTTTACCTTCTAACACTGCATCTTTTATTTTTTCCTCTTCATCTCTATGCGGTCAGCATCGAGAGCACTGCATTCATTCATGACTTCTGTGTGAGTTCGGCTGACTCAGCAGAACACTTTTTGCTGGTGTAAACTTTTTGCTGACTCTGTCTCTGAGTAGGGATGTAAAATCAGTGCTGGTCAGGGGTGAGCCCTCGTCCTTGGAAATATCAGAACGATAGAGTTTCAACAGAGCATTTATACACTAACTCATGCCGGACAGCTAGAACTACGTCAATACAGCATTACAGCATGTATGTCTCTCTCCTAAGTGTGGTTATCAGTCATAGTGTGTTTGACTGCTGCTAGTTAGGGGTATTGATTTGGTTCGAGAGATGGTGTATAGATTCAGGTCCCTGCAGTGCCAGCTGGTTGTGAATCTAGTGCAGTGTGAGACTTTTAATGACATCACCCACACACATTTGCCAGGCAACAAACAGAATTTTAACTGTGGGTTCTTAATTGAGGTGAATATTAGACGTTAGGCTTATGTAAGTGCATTGACTTGTTTTCCTGGAAGGGCGCTGAAACCTGAGGAGCTTTAGCCTCGATCACCATCTGCCCTTCCCCATAAGACATGATTCTCTCATCTTTGTTCAGTCCATCCACAGTCCATCCACTTTCCCTTTTAAAGACAAAATTAATTCAAAATTCATCCTATTTACTTTCTTAATACATTGTGAATGATTAATAAGACTCTGACTCTAAGTCTGACTCAGTTTGGGTGTAACGTGCACTTTTTACTTACCAGTCAATTACTGATCGATAAAATCTAGTCCCGTCCTACACTTAGTATACGCCCTACATTTAGTTTTATAACTATAAAGGAATATTCCTGGGTGAATATGAAAACAAGCTTATAGTAATGGACTTACAGTTATTTTTATTTTTTTTATAAAATAAAGAATTTTATGTACTTCATCAAAAATATCAGTCCCACATTCCTTATTTCAAATTCTCTTGTATAATTGTCTCATAGACTTCAATTCTAAGCGCATTACTGTAAATACATTTTTATTTTATTTTTTACAAACTGAAGGATGACTAAATTATTTCATATTGTAACCTCAATTAGTTTTTTAAATCTAAAATTTACCTTTAAACTCACTGTTAGTTTCAATATTACAGTCATAAACATATGCTGTATTTGTCATTAAACATATCTGCAAGATAGAGTTTGTTGTTCCTGCAACCACCGATCTATATATACATAATAGCACATGTTTCAGAAATTATGGCCTGGCTAGCAGTCAAGTCTTCATCCAGTCCAGGGTGAACATATGGCCCAACTAATGGATGGAACACAACATTAACAGCAGAGAAAAAGGTCATGCTGAATCATGCATGGTAAACATGAAAAGCATTTGCTCTGACTGATATTTGCGGATATTGAATTTGTGTATAATTGCTCTTCACTGGTTCACTCAGTCACCCCTGTTTCAGGCTGCAGTATTGTTTTATGGTAATGTTTTACAGTGTTACACCAGACATTTTAAAAATTATTTTCAGGTACAATATTTAAAATATTTTTTCTTTCCTTTCTTTTCTTCTTCGTTGCAAAGGACTGCTTAATTCTAGAAAAGAATGATTTCCACCACCCAGTGTGCTCATTCCAAGATGACTTCCAAGAGTTTGAGATGATCGATGATGAAGATGATGAGGAAGAAGAAGAGGATGCAGATCCTGATGCCCCTCCCTCACCATCAGCATCTCCTCCCCCCTCTCCTATTCTGGGCACCCTGAAGAGCCGCCCAACCATTCTAAACCTGACTGCGCCAGTTTCACAGGTACCTCTAACTCACACCTGATAAAATCAATATATATATATATATATATATATATATATATGCGTGTGTATAAACATATGTTATCTGTATTTAAACTCTTCTTTTGGTCCTAATCTCAGGACTCCCTGAACAACAACAGCAACGTGTCACCACGAAAGTCAAGCTGGCAGGATTCTCTTCGAAACCCGACTTCACAGGGTAATTGTTTCTATATACAGTGGGTACGGAAAGTATTCAGACCCCCTTAATTTTTTCACTCTTTGTTATATTGCAGCCATTTGCTAAAATCAGTAACAATAATATAAAATAATCCAAAACAGAATTCCAAAACAGATTCCAAAATATATGAACAGCTTGCAAAAAAAAGCTCTATACAAACTTAAACTATTCATACAATTATTGCATCAGAACGTCACTGATCATATTCTATTGATTAATATCTATTCTTGATATTTCTGTAGATATAAATGTAGTCCATTGTTAATAATTTTACTCAACATTTTAGGTTGCTTGTCTCCAAACCACTCTTGCCTTGAGGATGGTTCCCATGTAACTACTACGTGCCCGGGGACTCCAGACACCACTGCCTCTGCCAATGGTACACCCTCAAACCCACCAGGTCATTGTGGTCTTCATCAGTCACCTGGAAGGCCGCTGCTGTATGACTTTGAAGGCAACAGACGAGAGCGACCAGAATACGGTAAGAAGTCTGATCGTGTTGCTAATGGCTAATCAAAATTAATATACAACATATACATGATCGTGGTTATATTCGATGCCTCCAACAACATTTTTAATTTTGTCCTTTCCTTGTCCACTTATCTCAATTCCCCTCCATCTCTCTTTTTCATTCCATATCTTTCTCATCTTCCAAACCAGGCTCCTTTGGTCAACATAACTCGTCAAGTGGGTCTGAGGCGAATGAGGTGAAACCTGATGTTGAGGAATCCACTCTAAGTGAGCTTGTTCCCTCAGTGGATGACTGCACTTCCCAGTGCTCCGACACTGAGGTCGACCATGACCTGAATGGTCATGCCAAACATCGACCTTGCCGCTCTCGACCCAATGACACTTATACTGTGACCACGGAGACCGCTGATGACCCAGAGCTGGAAAATGATGGCACCAGTAGGTGTCTGTCCTCAACCGCACCTCTTGGTAATGATGCAGAGACTCCGCTATCGGATGAGGAGCTGGACAAAGAGTTTGACATTGACTTCATGAGTAAGGATACCTATGATCAAACCTGCAAGGAAGCTGAGGCCTCTTCTTACGTTGAGTTCCCCTGCATTGAACCAGCTGAGTCAATTTCTGTCTCTAGCTACGTGTCGTCCAGTCGATCAGATGTCCTTGATGCTATGGACGAACCTCGAAACATGCATCTGGGTCAACCTGCTGCTGCAAATGACACAACTTCTCCTTCTTCCGATCCTGGTATTGCTGATATGAATGTCAAACGCTATGCAGAGTCAGACCGCCACAGCGATGACCTTAGCTCTCCTGGATCAGACTCTGATATTGAAGGCGAAATTGAGGCTGCATTTGCATGTGGTCCACTTGCTAGTAACATGATTTCCTCTATCTCGGAGACAGAGCTGGACCTGACCAGTGAATCTAGCAGCGGGCGTTCCTCGCACCTCACCAATTCCATTGAAGAAGCCAGCTCCCCAACCTCAGACCAAGAACTGGACCAGGAGCTGGACCCTGAGCAGGACAGTGGTATTGTAGGTCTAAAAGCTTCTCTTCTTCTGGGTCAACCTGACCCAATTAAACAAGAACCTTCAGCAGGTCTAGATCCCAGCCCAGGCATGTTACAACTAGATGATGGCCAAGCTCTGATGGGCCTGCAGAATGTAGATGACGAACAGGGATATGAGCACCAGGCTGATCCAGACGAGACTCTTCCCCCTGCCGTCCCCTGTGAGGATAGTGGCTCTCAGCAGCTGTTGTTGAAGATTGAGCCTGACCACAGTCTTGAAAGCTTCAAACGCTCCTTCTATTTGCCGGTTGGCCCTAAACTCGTGCCCTCTGTCGACGACTATGATGGTAACAGCGAGGGAGTCTCAGAGTCAGAGTCAGAGGACGAGCTCAGTGAAAACTCTGATTCTCCGTGGCTTCTTAGCAACCTGGTCAACAGGATGATCTCAGAAGGCTCCTACCCAATCAGCTGCCCAGAAGAGTGCCTCAAACGCTCAGCCTCCATCTCTGACACCATCTCACCCTCATCGGACCTGGAAACAGATACTTTCAATGAGATGGATTTCTGCAATTTACAAAAGCAGAAATCTGAAGAAAAGTCACAGGAGGTGACCTCTGAAAATTCAGAGATGAGACTGGATGAAGAGAAGGAGAGAGAAGCCAGCTATGTATCTGAAGAGGGACAGAAGGAAAGCAAGAGAACGGACTCTTGTCTGTACATTAGCAACCCCATATATGGCAACGCTATACCCATCTTTACAGAGGAATTCGAAACGAGGGCAAAGAATCATGAATCGGAGGACTTCCCATCCCAGAACTCATTAAAAAACAAGCAGAAAGAAGAAGAGGAGGAGCCAAATAATGACTTGATGATTGAGAGAATGAAGGAGCTGGAGTCTCCCAGCTTGAGCGAGAGCATAATCAGTGACAAGGACGAGGGACGGGAGACACGGGTCGATCAGCTCACTTTGCAGCAAATCACAGAAGTCAAAAACAGCCTTACATTGGACATCCCAACAGCACAGACCAATCACTGTTTCAGTCTTACGTACTCGACAGATAATGATGAAGATGAGCAAGATACCTCCCCTTTTCTGGAGGATCTTCACAAGGAACCTTCACCCTACGGAAATGAGGCTTACTTGGACAGCTCCCCACCTATTGATGAGAGTGTGCGAGAGTTGAGGAACACAACTTCCGACCGGCCCATCAATGACTCCTTGGCGTATGATTCAATGAAGTACACCCTAGTGGTGGATGAAAACACAACCCTTGAACTGGTGAGCCTGAAGCGCTGTACCTCTGTTCTTAGTGAGGACAGTGATGGACTCTCTACTATCTGTGATGAAGAAGTTGTTGATGAAGATGAAGACATTTATGGGCAGGGTCAGATGGTAAGAGGCATGAGACCTGATTTGCTGTTAAGCTCCTCTGAAGAAGACTCCTCCCCGGAGGCGGATTTACCTTTCTCAAAGAAGTTCCTCAATGTGTTTGTCAACAGCACGTCACGGTCCTCCAGTAAGTGATATTTAACACCGTGCACAATAGAGTTAAGGGATAGTTCACCCAAAAATCTGTCATTATTTATTCACCTTCATTTCATTCCAAACCTGTACACAAAATGAGATGTTTTGAAAAATGTGTTTTTTTTTGTCCTTACAAAGGAAGTCATGGGGTCCAGTGTTGTTTTGGACCCCATTAACTTTCACTTTGAAAGATTTCTTAGCGCCAAAAAATCTATCCTTTGTTATTGTTTGCTCTTTTGCACGATTAAACTATGACTAATAAAGCAACATTTTTAAAGCTACTGTAAAGGTTTAATACAAAAATATGCACAAGGAGGAAACACAAAATAAATTGTTGTATATTACCAAAATAAATTACCATATTAAATTCACTCCCATTCACAGAGCTATTCTGAGCCCTTTTAGTTCAGTTTTAGAGATTTAGATGATCATTTTACATAATTTAGGAGCCCGTCTTGCTGAACAGAAAGGATATTTAATAATCCTAATGAGATGACATCAGAAGATGAAGGATTTTGTATGACCTGCTTCTAAATGAGTTTTGCAGTACTCTGTGACACACACACACTTGCACACTCAGAGAGTCTACCTTGGGGCTTATATCTCCATATACAGTGACATAATGCATCTGCATTATGTGTGTTTCAGGCACAGAGTCCTTTGGGCTTTTCTCGTGCACTATAAATGGAGAAGAAAGAGATCAGACTCACAGAGCGGTCTTCAGGTGAGCAATGCAGCCCACACTATAACCTAAAAACACCTACAGTAGCTCTAATCAAAAAGTTCCAGTCTGGTTTAATGTTCAATCACAAACCCTCAACGAAATCTTTGTTTTATAGTATCTGTTAAAACAGTTAATTGACTGCTCATAATATCTATTGCATGCAATGCAAATGCAAGTTTTAATGCCCACGCCTCAGGTTCATCCCACGACATGCAGATGAGCTGGAGTTAGATGTTGATGATCCATTATTTGTTGAGGAAGAGGAGGATGATTACTGGTACCGTGGGTACAACATGCGCACAGGGGCCAGAGGGATTTTCCCAGCATACTACGCCCACGAGGTTGTTTGCCAAACAAAAGACCTGATGAGTAAGAATTTTTAAAAAAGTTTTCATTTTGTTTTGTGAGGAAAAATATGTATAAAGTTCTGTAAAAATGTCTAGTTGTTCTAGTAAGCAATGTGTGACTGTTTTATTTTTATTTTATTTCTTTGGCCTTTACATCTGGTCTTTTTGTTAAAGCACTTGGTGAGTCAGCATTGTCTGTATACGTGTATTTTCATAGCAATGAAGAGGAACCCTGCTTGGATGGAAAGCTTCCGAGTGCAGTTCCTGGGTTCGGTGGAAGTTCCTTATCACCAAGGCAATGGCATCCTGTGTGCTGCCATGCAGAAGGTACCGTAAACAGGAAAATGTATTAGTTTGTGCTTTACTTGTGTGAGACTTACTGAATGCACAATGTTACATCATATGATGCAAACAAGAACTCATGTGTTTGTTTTAGTGCAGTCAAAATTAGCGTGTTAACGCATGCAATTAATTTTTTCAGTTTAACGGCGTTAAATATTTTACGCGGAGCTAGGGATTGCTACCCCACTCACAACTGCTGCTTCTGTCTCTTTTTTTTTATAAGAATTGCATTTATTTAGATGCAGAACATCTTTACAACCACATCAGACGCGCACTCCAACTTCGCCTCAGCGCCAGGCGCTAGTCAAACAAGCGTGAGGTGGCGATCAGATGAGATGTTGTCAGGCCATACAGTATGTCAGTAAAAACGAACTTTCCTGTCCTGTCAGCCATCAAACTGCTCGTAGCACGTGCTCTTCAATTGCACGCACAAGTGCGCCGGCGCGCTGTATATCATTTCATATTAAAGCGCAAAAGAAACTGAGCATGCAATGTCGTAGTTATGTCGTCAGCTAAGTCATGAAATTAACAAAAAAGGCGATTATTGTTGCCTTAAAACTGTGCATGTATGTAAATATTTGTTAAATATGAGTCACATTTAAGAACATGTCTCTGAAATGCAGTGGTTTTCAAAACTCTCCCTCATCTAACACACTCAATTCAACTCGTCAGCTCATTAGTAGAGACTTTAAGCATGCCAGAAAAGGTAAAGAGAAAATACGAAGCGTGTCAGATCCACGTCATGTTCAGCAGCAGCAGCTCTTAAAGTAATATCAGCCAAAATAACCTAATAACCCTGCTGCTGTGATGTCTGTTAATTAAAAAGAACAAAAGAGGAAATCAATAACTTTTGTAGCTTTAAGGATTCATCTATGTTTAATTTAGAATTTAGTGTTTGATAACTTTATTTTTAGTTGTTTCTACATTAATTAAAGATTGCAAGGGAAATTTTGCAATATAAAAGTTTAAAAACTAATTTTAGGTGGGATTAATCGTGATTAATTTCAGAAATAATGTGCAATTTAATTATAATTTTTTTTAAATCGATGACAGCACTAGTTTGTTTGTCTTTCAGATCGCTATTGCAAGGAAGAGGACGGTGCATCTTCATCCCCCATCTATTTGTGAGCTGGAAATAAGCCTGCAGGGTGTGAAACTAGTCATGAGTTTGGATGACGAGTACGACCTTTCAGGGGAGGTAAGAGAGAGAGAAAAAGAGAGAAAACTTAAAGGTGCAGCTTTCATTTTTTTTGCCCTGCTGGATTGTTTACCCAATCAGTAGTCAGCTGTGATTAATTTATTCTACAAACAAAATATCCGATAAATGGGGTTAAAAAAGCTAGTAGTATGCAGTAGTAAGTAATTTGATCTCATTGACTTTTTAATATTTATTTATTTATTTATTTTTTGAGTCTTCATCTCATGTATAACTGAATTTGAAAAATAAAATAAATACTATTAATTTCTATATGTGCATGACTATTTATTAGAAAAAACACATTTAATACATAGATGTTAAATATACATTGTGAGAATATCTAAATATTTAGTATTTTGCTTGGATTTTGAGATTTATTAGAATTCCTCTTCTCATTTCTTTTCATAGTTTGACAGATGTAGTCACTTCTTCCAAATGAAAAACATCTCCTTCTGTGGATGTCATCCTAAAAACAACTGGTAAATACACACACATTCATTACTACTTTCTATTTCTTTTAGTAAACCCCAAAACAAGTCTTCATGCATTTTATCAATTTTGGAAGATTTTGCAGGCCAAAATAAGACTGGTCCCTTTTCTCTGTGTGTCTTTTTGTAGTTATTTTGGTTTTATCACCAAGCACCCGATGCTGAACAGGTTTGCATGTCACGTCTTCGTCTCTCAGGACTCCATGAGACATGTAGCTGAGTGTGTGGGGTGAGTTTAAACGTCACAATAACGTTCACAAGAAACTTTTGAGAATGAGAATAGCGAGCCAAGGAGAAAAGAAGAGAGGAGAAGAGAAATTAATGAGTGATCTGTCTCTGCTCCATTATCAGAGCACAGACCAGATTGCTGTGTGAATTATTAAAGCTTCTCTCTTTTGGAGCAGACAGGAGACCTGAGTTATGGGCCCCAGCAGGAGGCAGCTAGCTTTGCCAAATTACATAATATAACCTTATGAACATATACATTATTCTGCCTTATCATTTAGCACAGAAATTAAGGGGAAAAGTTAAAGAACAGAAACTAAAAATGTTTTTATGACAATACGTTGCTTTCATCATGTTAATTACGCAAGAAAAAAAGCACAAGTGCACATAACGAGAGCTCATTAACCTGCACACTTGTACAGACTCACAGCTTTAGTTTTCTGTGGCGTTGTTGAAATTATTTTAAAAGCATCCTGCTTTGTAGTTAGCTGGTGTGACTAGCTTCTGTGTTATAGTGCGTGCTGGGCTTAAAGGTGGGGTAAGTGATTTCTGGTAGCCAATGTTGATATTTCAGATCACCAAAACAAACACAAAATAAGTGAAAGCAATGTGTGTTACATATAATATGGTATGTGTTTTGGTAGTACTGTGTGTTTTAACATGAATGGTTTAGCTCCGTGCGAAACAAAGCAACCTTGGCGTCCGATCGCAGGCCTTCACGCTTCTTGAGTTCTCTCCAACGCTGGAAAGCTGATCCGATATTTACACGGGTCCTACTTCTTGCCTTATCGTAAGCCTTCTTTTGTTCCGCAGACGTTTTCCTCTTTTGTTTGGGCAATTTTATCCAATTTAGTGGCATTTTTGCCCCAAGTCCCTGTGGCCAGGGGAAGGCTAAGCCTTATGCAATATGCAATAACCTGCTCCTCCCTGGGTAAATAAATAAACGAATAAATTATTTTCAAAAAACAAAAATTACAAATAAAATATAAATTACAAATAAATACATATATACAATTATTATGGTTATTTAGTTATATACGACCTTATTTCATTTATTATTTAAATCCTGGTTGATTGTGAACAAATTGTTTTGGAATTTGCTTGAAAAAACTAAATATGCAATAACTTGCTCCACCCTGCATAGAATGAATGAATGAATAAATAAGTTAATAAGTAAGTATTAAGTAAGTAGATAGGTGGGTAGGTATGAAATTTGCCTGAAAAAAATAAACAAACACTCAAAATATGCATTAACCTGCTCCACCCTGTGGAAATAAAAATAAAAAGATTAAAAATAAAACAAATAGCAAATAAATAAATAAGTAAATGAATAAATTTGAGTTTAGTCCATGTTACATCAAAATTGACCTTATTTAAATGATTATTAAATTCCTTAATATGATCAAATTGATATATATATATATATATATATAATCTTTTATTGTTATTATAGTTATATTATAGTTATTACAGCTAAATGTGAAACCCTGGCATTTTTAGCAATACATGACCAATGCAACACACAAGCAAAACAAATCCATGTTCACAAAACGCAATGTATGGTCTGATCACGTCTCTGAATGTCTCTGTGTGCTTGTTTCAGACGGGCATTCCAGGAGTACTACCAGGAGCACTTAGAGTACGCCTGTCCTACCGAAGATATCTACCTTGAGTAAAGGAGGAAAAGGGTAACCATGGCAACTGCTGTCCCTCACGACAGATGTCTGTTCCTGGGCTTGGCCACTACGAGGCGCCTGGCAGCCTTCTCAAATGTAACATAGGCCTCATCTCTTTATTCTCTTCCTCAGTTTCTCTTGTTCTCTTGACATGAACTGAGCTGAATACTTTACATATAGGCTCTTAGTGGTCTGTCTATTTATTTAAATGTTTATCGATTCATTTAATCTCTTCACAGAGATGGATTGCTTGTTTATTTAACTTTTCTACTATATAATTAGGGACATGGTTTTGGGGTGGATACATCAGTTCGATTTCTTTTTTATATATATATATATATATATATATATATAGTCCTGGTGTAGAAAAGGCAAAATATGACTTCACATGTTTGATTGCATGGCTTTGAGGGTTATGCTCACAAAAACACATACACACACGAGAGATCTAACAATGTCTAAAAGCAAAAGGCGATCAGAGGTTTGAATCTGAAGACCAGGATTGTTTGTAAATATGTATTTGTCCGATTCTGATACATTGCTGAACTGGGTTTGTACTAAACAGGACAGGGCAGTAGGACGTGACCTGGAATCATTGATAGGTCTACAGATTGTCTGTTCCGATGTATTAGAAGGCTTACTGTACGTTTCTGATTTTACCGCGATGTAAATACTGTATAAATAGAGATAACTGTAGGTGAATACAGATGCTACAATACATCACGGTATGCAAGTATCCTGCGCCATCTGTCTGCGAATGAAAAAGTGGGACGGATTGCAGGTCGGCAGGCTGGGTGTAGATGGATCTAAAGATGGTTCGGTGAGTCTCATCAAGTCATATCTGGAACATATTTGACCCCAAAATCACAATAAACAATTAAGAAATTATATTTTGTGCAAAGATGATTATTTTTTTGCAACCGTGACATTACTTTCATATAATTTTTTAACACCCACAATTACTGTAATTCAATATTTTATTTCAAATCAGCATGCAATTAGGGCTGTGCTACAAATATTACCATTATATGTGACCCTGGAGCACAAAACCAGTCTTAAGTCGCTCGGGTGTATTTGTAGCAATAGCCAAAAATACATTGTATGGGTCAAAATTATAGATTTTTCTTTTATGCCAAAAATCATTAGGATATTAAGTAAAGATCATGTTCCATGAAGATATTTTGTACATTTCCTACTGTAAATATATTAAAACTTCATTTTTGATTAGTCATATGCATTGCTAAGAACTTCACTTGGACAACTCTAAAGGTGATTTTCTCAATATTTAGATTTTTTTGCACCCTCAGATTCCAGATTTTCAAATAGTTGTATCTCGGCCAAATATTGTCCTATCCTAACAAACCTATTTATTCAGCTTTCAGATGATGTATAAATCTCAATTTCGAAAAATGGACCCTTATGACTGGTTTTGTGCTCCAGGGTCACATATATAAATAATTTACAATGATTATATCATCCATATCAATATTTATTCATATAATTAGTAATAATAATAATAATAATAATGGAGGGTGAGGTGAGGAAATGTGCTTAATTGTCAAGAAACAATCAGAAAATAGGCTTTATTTTCTTCATGCACAATAAAATGTATATATTTTTAATGTAATTTTGGGGTAAAATATTACTCGGATATCGACTTTGTGTGATTCATCCGATTGGCTAAGCTATAGCACAGTCCTTTGGGCATTCAGTCAGATAATATTTCTCCAGCTCTCAAAGCTGACAGCCCCTCTACTTACTATTGTTTGCTGTCTTGTATGATCGTCAGGTTGGATTGACACTTTTAAGCCTGATATAGCCTACCTCTCATGCTTTCAACATTTGCAGGTAGATATTTCAGAGCGATGCAGTGCTTATAGACCGTAAGCATAACGAGTAAAAATACTGTCCCTGTTCATTGGGAAACACACTGAATGCAGGAGTATTTTACCAGTGGACTGGATAATTTACTGCTCAGTTAATTTGCAAGACAAATACTGCTTCACATTACACCGCTAAATAATAATATACCCTTATTCTGTCCTGTGAAGCAATGAATAAGTGAATGTCATTTATGTAGATGCCATGTGATAATATAATAAGCTCAGGACATCAGAAAACAATCCTCATGTATTGTTTTGTCTCTCTGAGTCGGTCACAGATGCCGATCGGTAGATGCGATTGTTCAGCTCTCTTATTTCTAACTAGCCCTTGTCCTGACCTTGACCGGCGCTGCTGAGACTGAACAGAGCAGATCCCCCTGCTGGCTTCATACAATAATGACCTACAATAATATTTACCTCATTCAATCTGCTGAATGCAATCCAGGGCCATGCAGCAGCTCACAATCAGAATCATGATGTAAAAACATTCAGGTAATATTACAGGAAAACGTGTGTAGTTCTATTTAAAAATGGCTTGATATGTCCAAGATGCTATATGTGGGACACGGATAGGTCAAAATTATGAAGAGATGGCATATTTAAGACATTTTTTTTCATCACATCCTGTCAGGTAACTGCCTGTTTTATTATCTAGAAATGAAGGGCTGCGTTTGGAATGAAGCGGAATATTAGCATACTACATACTGTGTAAACCTCATTACATTGCATGTTAATTCAGCAAGTAATCATTTTGGAAATAAAAATGCTTATTTTTGCATTTTAAACGCAGAAATCCGTCTTAAGATTTATCAGTCTGTCAAAATAATAAATCAAGGAGATGACAAACATCACAGCTGATATTTCATGTACTAAATCCTGCATTGAGGGATTCAGCGCCTGTTCTTTTATATTGCACATTTTGGCAAAACATCTGCATTTTTCATGCACACTGCACTGGTGTATACTAGTATGGATAGTATACTATTTTGAACACAACCCAACGTTCCCTGCAAACTTGAGCCTGCAATCTGTTTCCATGGTTACCCGTTCATTTGTGAAGGTGACACTCTCACGGAAACAGTTTTATGTTTTAAATGTGTCTTGTTTTTGGTTAGATTGCTGTAAATATTCTAGAGTCAGGATCACCATGCTGTGTCCTTTCTGTTGAGTATGTTATTGAGATTAATATGTAATTTAAAAAGAAATAATATAATAATGTTGACTATAACAATCTTACAACCAAAAGCCAACTGTGATGGGGTGAAAAGATATAAATAGCTTTGAATTAGTATTTGTATCTTTCCTTTATCTGCTTTACATTGGTATACATCAGTTGTTGGATGTGTGGTCACCATGTGCGGAATAACATGCAATCGCTGGCGTTCTAACAGATCCGTCAGATCTTCACTCACAAACAGACCTGCATCGAATGCCCAAAAACTCATTCATCATTGAATTGAATGGGTCAAATCAGCAATTTTGTCTCATTTATGAACGAATATCAATCAGAGCTCTAAATCCTTAGTAATGACTGTTACATTACATTTTTTTGTGTGTTCATACAGTAAATGAATATCTTAAATATTTGAGCCTTCACTTTAGCAATTTGTAGTGACAAATTGGCCGTGAAACCCCTAACACATTCAGGCAGAGCATCTAATACTTCTTGATTACTTAAGCTTGGGTAGCTGAAACACAATTACAAGAAATACAAAGTTCTGGACTAAACCGTACATAATTCAGTCCTTCACTGTATAACGGAAACAGCTTCAGTATGACAAAACTATGTATCTTGTGTCTTTAAAAATGACAACTTGTAAAGATAAAAGAAAAAAGAAAAAAAAATCTCACTGCCTTGTCATGGATTTGGTCTTATGAATAAAATACTATATGCTTGATGTCACCAAAGTGTTTCTGAGCAGTGTTATTTTAGATACTATTACAGTTTTTTATTAATATATTGAATTGATAAAATATTTTATTAATATTTTGAAATTAAGTTTTTATATTATTTTTATATTTAATTTAATTTTAACGTTTTAGTCATTGTGTTGTTATTTCTAAAAGACGTTTGTATAGTTTTTTTTTATTAATTTTTGTTTGTTTTTAGTTTTATTTATTTTGGTACACCAATTTAAATAAAACAATTCATTTTATTTCAAGCAACATATATTTTAGTATTTATTTTTTAGATTCAGTTAACTATAATAACCCTGCTTTTGAGTTTGCTTGGCAAAGGTGACACTTCGCCGCTTTGTGGGACTGATGCTGGTGGATGTCAACTCTGTAAGTTCTCTGTGTCATGTTTGTCATCTACATTTGAGGCTGTCTTTAAATGGCAAATGTTAAAATAATCTACTTCTCAATTAAAATGCTAAAAAACACAAAATCAAGTTTATTTTTCTCCTCAACTATGGTTTTATTTAAGAACATACAGCGCTTAACTTCTAGAATTACAAAATGAATCATTATTAATTTAATATCTCATATTTAATATATCAATATTTTTGGTGGGGTAGGGCGTTCAAATATTATGAAGGGCCTTTGAGTTGAAAAGAATAAAAATCACTGCCCTAGTAAAAAAAAAAGAGCTTTTTAATTTGCACTGTTTAATTTCTACCATGCAAATATAATGTGGTAATATACATATTTAATTAGTATATTAATATAAGCATTTTTCTATACTCTCTAATAAATGAGTTGCCATTCAGCTAGTTCAGCCTTGTATACTGTACGTTTGATGAGGAGGAATAAAATATCTCAAGACCTGTGTTCTATAACTTCCTTTTATTTCTAAATATCACTCCACAATTAAGATTCAGTGTTAAACGCAGACTGATATTGAATGAATCTTAAAGGACAGTATGACATAAACATTCATACATTTGTGCTTAACAATAAACACCTTTCATAACTGTAATACTCCTCTATTCCCTTTGAAACAAGTCACTGTTAACAGCCTATTATTATATCAGTGAACTAGTCAGAGCCACATTTTGGTCTGCAAACTGAGAGATGAGAGAGAAAATTAATAACTGTAACACTGTATTTTTTATAAAATATTTTCATTTGTTTTCCTTCAACAAAGAACCTAACCTGAACAAGATTCCAGAAAAGTTATGCTTTTTCATCGCAAGAAAATCAACGGTCTTTCGGATGGCTTGTGAATTGTAATTTCATGTTATTGTGGTGGTGCTGGGTTTTGGCAGTGTGCCGGCTTGCCGCTGCTTCCATTCAAAGCGCAGAAGTGCAGTGGCAGCATTCAGGTTTAGGGGTGCAATTAGGAATGCAGCAGGGCTCGAGTGCAGAGTCTCTCCCTTTGGCAATCTCACTCTCTCCAAACACCATAGAAGCCTCAAAGTGCTCCTTGACGGCCTGGATTTGCTTGAGCACAGAGTCCCATTCGGCACTGTTGAGGTTATAGTATTCTGAGGGGTCTGCCTCCAAGTTATATAGTAAAGGAGGATCATGATGCAGGAGGGGAAGTGATGAGCAGTTGCTGTCTGGGGTGCTTTGACTGTGAATTGCACCTGAGTTATGAGGAAAAAGACATAACAGAAATAAACAGGAAGGAGAGGTAGGAAGGTGAGGTTTATATAGAGTAAGAAATAATGAACTTACCCTGTGTATAGTAATGTGCTTTGAAATTTGTCCATCTCACCGCAAACACACTATACTTCTCACTTGGATTAGTCGGGTAGTAAAAGATGGCCTGTCTTTCACTCTGAAACATCAGTAACAAGGCTCGCTTGACAAAATGACATTTTGGCCCATTTTGGAGGAGTACATGCAGTTTCAGGTTTATTTGTCACTTACATATCCTTACAGACGTAGTGAAAAAATAACAAAAAGCTAGACAGAGTAGTGCAACAGAGTAGAGCAGGGTCTCAAAAAAAGCGCAGGCTCATTGCCAGTGCTTGTTCAAGGTAAAAGAGTAAGTATTTAAGTAAAATAAATAATGACAGAGATATTTGGTTAACTATTCATTTAACCATTTTATATAGTCTCCAAAATCTATAATGGAACAATACACTATAAAACAACTGAGATTCTGTGATGTTATGGTCAAAGATGTATGTCTAATGGGTGTATATGAAGGTTAACTACTCAGACTGAAAGCAAGAATGCTTCCTGTATGCTTAGAGAAAGACCTAAATATATATAAATATACACTACTGTTCAAAAATATATATTTTTTAATAAATTATTATTTTGTTCAGCAAGGATGCATTAAATTGATCAGAAGTGACAGTAAAGACTGACATAAAAGACATTTTTACAAAAAACAAACAAATATTATATATATATATAATCAGCATATTAGAATGATTTCTGAATGATCCTGTGACACTGAAGACTGGAGTAACAATGCTCAAAATTCAGCTTTGCATCACAGTAATAAATGACATTTTTAAGTATTAATAGAAAAATTATATTTCATAATATTACTGTTTTTCCTGTATTGTTGTTGAAATAAAGGCAGCCTTGGTGAACACAAAAGACTTCTGTGAAAATCATGTTTTACTAATCTTGCTGACCCCATACTTGTGAAAAATAACGAATGTATAACTGTAAGTGTTTATGTAAATATATTTCACTTTTGATCATTTTTTCTCTTACCGGTCCGTGATTCAACAGGATGTTTGTCATGTCGACCCCGTCTAGTTGAACATCAGGTAACGCAGCTCCAGCCAGCTTGGCAAAGGTGGGCAGAATGTCCAAAGAGCTGGCCAGAGCACGGGTCACACCTTCGAATGATGGGAACATATACATTAAATCCATTTCATGAAAACATTGTATATTTCTTGCTGCTGGATTCAGACGCAGGACTGTTTATCTCTGAGCACCTGGTTGGATGGATCCAGGCCAATATGCGATGGCCGGCTCTCTCATTCCTCCTTCGTAAGTCGTGCCTTTGCCACATTTCATCAGTCCTGCGTTTCCCCCACGAGACTTCCGCATGAGCTCTGGCCTGGGAATGCACACAAATATAGATGTTAAGGCAAATGGAAAGACACAAAGCATGGACTAAGAAGAAACACCTACCCGTTGTCACCAGTGAAGAAGATGAGAGTGTTGTTGATCACACCCGTCTCCTCCAGAGTTTGCAGAATCTTCCCCACAGTGCCATCAAACTCCATCAGAGAGTCACCGAACGGCCCACGAGGAGACTTCCCTGCATAGTCTGCACCTGCATACTGAGGGTAGTGTGTGTGCTGGAGAGACCAGGCAAAAACTCATTAAGATCATAACATTCTGGTAAAAGTGAAACTCCCATTTATTTGAAAATACATTTAGTAAATCTTTCAAGAAAGACCTACTATGAGCTCTGAGATTGTTAAATGATGCTAAACAGCATAGAAACCTTTAGAAAATCAGTGCGATTTCCACTTTTGACTTTAATTTTATTTATTTAAATTTAAAAAGGAAAAAAAAAATTTAATTAATCTTTATAATTTATTTTAATATTTAAATCATTATTTATTCATCTGAATTATTTTGCTCATTATTATTTAGTTTAGTTAAAGTCCAATTATCTGAAGAACTACACTACCCACAATCCTCTTTGGCTCATCCAATCAGAAAAGTCACTGGAAATAGGAACTGTGCCAAAAGAAGTAATCAGACACTCCCATGAAGCATTGTGAATAACATAATCAAGTCCTCCCTACATTCCCAAACAACTTATATTTTTGTATATTTTAATATTTTGCAATAAATAAATAAATAATACAATTATATATATATATATATATGAAAAAATCCCTGACTATAAATCTAGTTTTATATTTTCGTTTTTATTAAATTACAACATTCGCAATGCTTCAAGGGATGCCTTCATAAAATTATTTTAAAATGATCACTTAAGTTCATAGCACCTTGTTTCTTTTTGACTCTCTCGACACATTAAAGCATTTTTACCCAAAGTTGGAATTAAATTTATTAAAAATAAATATAAGAGTTTACATACTTATTTTTTCAATAACAAGCATTATAAGAAACTTTATAATATATAAATGACATATTATGAAATACTCTAGTACTCCTTTTCAGACTCCTTTAGAGACATGCAAGCAATTGCATAAAAAATTACAAAAATGAATTGATTAAGAGTGTAGTTTTGACTCACATGTGAAGGATAGTACAGGAAGAACGGGTGCTTATTTTGGACAGCAACACTGATGAACTGAGAGGCAAATTCACTGTAGGCCTTCTCAAGCTGCAGGAAGTCTGCAGGCTGCTGCTTGATATTCTCATTAAACATGAGAGGTACAGTTACAACACCCTGATCACAGAAGCCATAGCACTTCACATCCGGAGGGAAACACGTGAGATTCTGACAGGGACCCTTTGATAGAGAGAGAGCAACAAAATTAATCAGATGACACTCCTGCATTAAAAATATAGATAAAACTGTGAATATTTCAAGAAAACATAATGACCTGGTCGTGTGAGTATGGGATACCGAGATAACTGTCAAAGCCCTGTCGGGTGGGCAGGTAAGTGCCATTCAGCCCGACGCCCAGGTGCCATTTGCCCATTATGGCTGTAGCGTAACCCTTAGATTTAAGCACCTCTGCGACAGTGGTCTCGTTGAGCGGGAGACCCCCTTTTGAGCCCGGATAGAGCACACCAGGATAGATCCCGGATCGAGTCTGATAGCGACCCGTTAGCAAGGCTGCCCTGGACCAAAAACAGTATGTAAAAAAGAATGGTGCGCATTAGTACAATAACATGTGGTCAGAATGAGGTCAGGTTGATGTTGGTTCATTCATCATAAGGGAAATAGAAGGTCAAGCTTAATATATACACAATTTTTTTTAATTTAGGCCACAGTATTTCTTGCATACAGAAAATACATATACTGTGCATAATATACATATTGAATACTGCAGAAATAGTAGACCTATTAGTAGTATGCTTATGATATTTTCAAAACAAAGTCGATGAATATTACCCTGTATTTTGGCGCCATCTTCTGTGCCAGACACTAAATGATCAATTATGGATTATGTAAAGTCGATGGTTATATAAGATATCTAATCAATTTGACAATAAATCAAGGGACAGTGTTTTTCTGATAAAAAAAAAGTAATTATAGCAGAAATAGCAGTTGGCCTGTTAGTAGTATGTTTAAAAATAATTAATAATAATAATAAAATAATAAAAAAATTCATAATTATTGCAGAAATAGCAGGCCTACTAATAGTACAATATGACATCTATAAGAGATATAATCAATACATCAAGTGAAAAAAAACAACAACGACAACATATAAACTAAAAATATTATTTAAAAAACGATTTAATTTATTATTTATAAATAATATTTACAATTTCGTAATAAAATATTACAAAATAAATAAAAATACAAAATTGGAAACTGGAAGGTGATTCAAAAATTCTCAAAAGCAGGTGTACAAATGAATGCATGAATATAAATGAAAGTATACTGATCATAGGCTGGATAACAGGTGGATTTGGTTTGACTTTTCTCAAGAAACAAAAATGATGCATTTGGTTTTACCTGGAGGGGCTGCACACGGAACTCGTGACGTAGAAGTCGGTAAAACGCAGCCCGCGCGCCGCCAGTCGGTCTAAATTCGGGGTGAGAGAGCTCGGGTGTCCGAAACACCCCAGATCACCGTAACCCAAATCATCCGCGAACAGCAGCACAAAGTTCGGCGGCGATGCGCGCGCACACTGAGCTGTGATCAGTGCAAACAACGCGATTACACTCCTTAAATCCATAATCTGACACGCAGTTTACACAATCTTAAACATGTCTGAAAACGGTATTTAGGTAGCATGAAAGTTCCTGCTCTGTTATCAGCCTCAGCTCCTTCCTTTGCCCTCAGTTTATTGCTGTCATTCACATCTCACTGGAGTCTTTCGTGTGTTTTCCGTGTGGATCATGTGATCACCGACACGCGGTCAGGGGGCTGATGGGATATGTGGTTTATTATCCAGAGACGGTGTACATGTGCACCATGAAGTTCGGTTTGAATAATTGTTTCGTGTGGATTATGATCTTTTTTATTTTTTTATTTGAGCAACAACATCTACAAAATTCTTCAAAACTTCTCAATTTGTGTTCCACTGAAAAGAACGGCGTTGGTGAGTAAATATCAATATTATTTCCATATTTGTGCGAGCTATGCTTCAGCTTAAAGGCACAATATGTACGTTTTTTTAATTAAAATATCCAAAAACCATTAGAATAGTGTTATATATTTTGCTGACTTGTGTACTTAGGCTACATTATCCCAAATGTTTCGAAGAATATTTAAATCCAGAGAAATAAGCAATTTTAACTAGTGACACGGAAATTAATGAGGGAAAAAAATATCTTTAAAAATCAAAAAAACAAAAACAAACTAATAATAGGCTAACTAATAAAGTTGGGCATTAATGCAAATGGAAAAATCAAGCGTTTATCAAAGGGAATCATTTAAAATGGTATGCTTGTATCTATTATTTCAATGTATTAAAGAAATTAAATAGTTTTTGAGAAATACAGAGCGGTCCAAGAGTTTGAGACCCCATAGTAAAATGCCTTTATTTTGCATTCTTTACTAAGTTTATATAGATTTTGTCATTATGATTATATCATCAATATCATATCAACAACTTTAGTGAAAAATCTAATTCATTTTTAATCATGATTTCAGAATTTCTCAGTATTTTATTAGTCCACAAATCACCTTTTTGCATTAATGAAAGCAGCACTCAAAATTATATGAAGGAAATATGGTAATGATGTTTCTAAGAACGTGAAGTTGACAATGTCAAAGTCATAAAATTATTTAGCCTATTAAGTCCTATGGATGTATGGTCTCAGTGTTTTTCACACCATTAATTAATTGAATTCATTTCATTGTTATGCTTGACCAATGGCAGGTGATTAATCTGGCATAATTCAACGTGGTGTTGGGCTATCTGCAGTCTTCTGTGGATGTTTTAAAAGCATTTCATTGTCAACAAGGGTTGCTCCTGCTGTGTAGATGCACATAGGACTCATACACTGTATTTTGAGAGCAAAATACTGCAAATGTCCAATCTCACTAGAAATGGCCATCTGTTTGCAGTTCAGCCCTCTGCCACTGTAGGTCCCTGTTTCATAAGCGCTGGAGCTCTAGTCTCAAAGCACACTGGAGCTGCAGCGATTGATGGCTTCGATCATTAATCTCTCATTAGAGGCAGTGAGAGCAGGGGTGCAGTGTCCGGCCGCAGTCCTTTACATCGGCCTGTGCTTGCTTTGCTTGTGATACAATGTGACAATCAGTCAATTCAATGAATGGGGGATCAAATAGATTGCTCCACTAGCTGGAGGAGGTGACCGTCAGTGCCGATTTTCAGGGAGAGAAGGAAATCTAGCATGCTCTGCATTTGAATTGCACTGAACCTTCACAGTTCACACGCACAGAAGTGAGAGATGGGAGGTACCCCTTACCTGAAGAAGATTTCAGTGCAGGAGTAAGAAATATTACAAGATCAATATGCTTGAATTAGGAAATGCCAAAAATGTGCAGACTTGAGGAATTCATTAACATAATGGTCTCTGTTCAAAGCATTTCATGAATACTACACTCTAAAAAAATGCTGGGTTAAATACAACCCAGTGCTGGGTAAAATAGGGACAAACCCAGCAGTTGGGTTGTTTTGACCCAGTGGTTCTGGGTAGTAACCTTCTGGGTAGTAACCCAACCGCTGGGTCAAAACAACCCAATTGCTGGGTTTGTCCCTATTTAACCCAGCATTTTTTAGAGTGTAAGATTTATTATGCATGAACCCTCACTCTTTCGAGAACACTAGATCAGTGTTTCTTAACCATGCATGGGGCCGGGGCCCACTACGGGCTCTCAGCAAATTTCCAAGGGGGCTGCAGGATGATTTAAAAGTATTGAAATTAATAAATTATTGTTAATATATTAATCAAATTAAAATTAATCTCTAATATGAAATTAACATGCTAAAAACACATAACATCTTTCTTATTTCCATTAATATCTATTTATTTTACTGAAGAACATACAGAACTTCTAGGATCACAATCATGATTCATGATTAATTCATTTAATATATCAATATATTTTTTGGGGCTAAGTGTCTTTGAATATTGTGTTGGACAACAGAGGGATTTCAAGTGGGAAAAGGTTGAAAACCACTGAACTAAATGGTTCAATTAAAACTGAGTCAAATAATAAATCACCCTTCATTGTCAACCTTTAGACTCATTGAGGAGAGTTGTACTGTTGCTTTTCAGTATTCAGATGTCTTTTGGTTGGTGCACAGTTTAAATTGGAGGAACCTGAGAAATAGAGACCAGAATATCATTACCATCTACCACTGTGAAGACCTTAGCAGCAGGATTGTGTACCATTGCAGTTCCTGAATTACAGTTCTGAATTTAAGTAGCAGACAGGATGCAGAATTGAAATTAGATTTTGACTGTAAGGACATTTATGTAAATTAAATTGATATTCAAAGAAACTTATATGCCTTTTTAGCAAGAAATGAAAAGTTTGTCAAAATCTTTTAAGTTGAAACTATAGATAGATAGATAGATAGATAGATAGATAGATAGATAGATAGATAGATAGATAGATAGATAGATAGATAGATGTTTAAAATGCTTGATATAGATATATCTATATGATCTGTATATATAAAACATTTAATAGATATTTTATTTGTTAAATAATTCAGATAATTCTGAATTTTAATTTAATTATTAAAATAATTGTAAAAAATCTATCTATCTATATATACATTCGGTTTATAACGGTATTTTTAGCTTTTAAAATACATTTCAATACCGTTTTAAAATACAACACTTAAAAACAGTATTGAAAAACAGTAAAAATGTATTTTGAAAGCTACAAATATTTCAAATAGTTTTTGACAATGTTTGTCAAGACCCCTGTTCCTTTTTGTTGTGCTCCATTTAGGTGCTTTTGAACGTGCCTTATGTTAAACGCATCAAATCAGAGAGAGATGTACCAGAAACTGGCCTAAAATTGTACTGAGATTCTGACTGATTACTTGGCTAGCCAGTCATTCAACCACCTACAGGTCAATTTTGAAAACATGTAGTATTCAGACCCAGCCAATCAGCATAAAACTCTCAGTTTTAAATCACCCTTAGTGTTATTGTGTGTACAGTGCATCAGACGGTCTGTGGGCGAGTTGTGCTGTCTGAGACTGACTCTGGATGCTCATTAGCGACTTAAGAGAGCTTTAATGCTTTGTTTCAGTTCTCTGGGCTTCATTTTGCTTCTAGTTCTGTGTCTGTCTTAGATACGTTGTTTATTCTCTCAGAGCTGAGCAGAGTTATAGATGGCATATTCTGTACTTGTATGTCTATTAGTGGAGCTAAAGCAGAAGCACTCAAAGACGTAAATCTTGAAACAAATCTGTTGTGTAACCTAGACTAAGACAGTGATTTATGTTTATTATGCACAAATTACAGTCTTTATGATATTGGAAGCGGGAGCCCATTTCGAGAAAAATGCAATAACTATATATATAATGCATATATATATATATATATATATATATATATATATGTGTGTGTGTGTGTAATATTGTTATTATTTATATATTTAACAGATTATCCAAAGGAGAGAGAAAGATCATTTTAACAGAGGTTGTCTATTTTGAAATGTTTACTATCACTTTTTATTGCTTATTTGATTGCTTATTGTTACTGCATATTTCAGGTTAAGACTTTGTTGTAAACTATTACTTTTCAAAGTGATCTGACTTCATACTTTTGCCTGGCGAATGATAAAATCTGCAAAAAGTCTTTAGGACTTACATTTTACCTGTTCCTCGCATAATATGCTTTCAGTAGACTTTGAATATAGTGTATTAGTAGGGTCTACTTTTCTTGGTGCCTTTTACTGCTTTTTTTAATAACTAAGGTCATCATATGGAAAAGAGCAGTGTAAGTGTTCTTTCTTAATAATTCTCATTTTCTGTTCCACTGAAGAAATATCAGGTTTGGAATGACATGAGGGTGTGTAAACAACAAAAGTACTGTGATTTTTGGGTGGACTATCTCTTTAAGTTGCATTCCAGTAATCTTCTTTGAGGTAACCTGTACTGCAAGTGAAACAGGCAATGACTTTTGGTGTATAGATCTTATCAGCATTGAAGGACTAATGAAGTCCGTATTTAATGAGATAGATAGATGAAGAGCCACTCATATGCTTTACCTGATGCAGTGCACACTGAAGTATGCGAAGGGCCTGAGTTTGCCTTTAAATAAGAACTTTATATTCAGGATGTGTGTGGCAGAGTCTGACAGAGAGAAAGAGAGAGAGACAAACGGATACAGAGAGACAGGTGAATATCTGCAGTGCTTCAGTCACACTGAGTGGAGTGCTGAAGAGTCTGGTCCACCTTTATCAGTCTCAATCAATCAACGTTGCCAAATGCATTGAAAACTGGCCAAACTGAAAAGCAATATACAACAAACAAATATACAGTGAGTATATGTTGTGACATTGAAATCAATCGATCACCAAACACCATTTATCAAAAGACCTGCATTCTGCTCAACTAACTATCAATGAATAATTGAACAATGACGTGAGGGAGCAAGAAATATGACGAGAGAGAGAGAGAGAGAGAGAGAGAGCGAGAGAGAGGAGGGATCTTAATCTTAACCTCTCTCTCTCTCTCTCTCTCTCTCTCTGTCTGTTGTCGGACAGCAGATAAAGCTGTTGAATAATTCAGGGCGTATTGAGTGCCTCCTTTTGGCTGTTTCTGGCTGTTAGCTGCTCTTTGAAATGACTGAGGCATGCGGAGAGAACAAGTGCTTGAGAGCGTGAAAGGCACTATGGAGAAAGAGAGATACAATCCTGCTGCAATATTATAAGTGTATTGTTTTACAGGGGAAAATGTG